TTTTAATATCCGACGTTAAATAAAGTTTATTGTATTGTATTGTATTGTATATATAAATGAAACGAAGTGTAAGCTTGTCTACAATGTACATCAAAGGGTATATTGATAAGGTGAATTTTTCTAATGAGTAAATTGATGTCAGTTTTGTAACCTGATAGATGTATAGTTTAGCGGCTTACATTTTCTGTCTTAAACTGGGCAATGAATTGATTGGCTACAGCGTTTCTAGGCTCTGTTAGGATTTTGACAAGTACTTCTGTGGAAAGTCCATGAAATGGTACAAGAATAGGCATACGGCCACAAAACTCGGGGATCATGCCAAACTTAATGATGTCCTTCGGTTCCACCTCAGATATTACACTGTCTGCATCTGTTTGATCATCAGCTTGCTGTCCAAATCCGTACACCTGGTGGGATGAAGAAACCTGTATTATGCATTTGAAAATACCTAATGACAAATGTACAACATATATCTGAAGGCTTACAGGTAGTGTGGAGACTTATCCCAGCCCTAACATTTATACAAAATTTAGTCCCCTTTGCCCAAAGATGTTCTGAAACTTGAGTTAAAATCCCTCAAATGGTATGGAAGGAAAAGGGTTTTGAAGATACGCCTCTTTTTCCCCTATTGGCGTGGTTATACCCAAAGGGGAATGGAGAGAGGGGAGCAATACCCTCTGATTATACAAAACTGTGTCCCCTTTGCCCAAAGATACTTTAGAACTCTAGTTAAAATCCCTCAATTGGTATGGAAGGAAAAGGTTTTCGACATACCTCTATTTCCCTTATTGAGCCCCACCCATGTGCCCCCCTCCCCGTCCCCTACAAAATTGAGAACCCTTTGGTCAAGGATGCTGCTCGCTTTGAACCAAAGAGCCGGATGAGCTAAAAAACAGAGAACCAGAGAGACCTGTGACTGATATGTATGTATATAAGATCAGAGGGGATTCAAAATTAAGTTTCTAAGACTTATTTCAGATACCCGTATAGTTCTCTACTTTTACGTATGTCAACATTTGTTGTTCTGCTGGCCACTTCAGAGACTATCTGTACCAAATTGGCGGGGGTCTGGTTGATGATTACATTGATGATAAAGTGGGAAGGCTGGAACAATTTAATAGTTGAAGATTACATTGATGATAAAGTGGGAAGGCTGGAACAATTTACTAGTTGATGATTACATTGATGATAAAGTGGGAAGGCTTGAACAATTTAATTCACATGCTGCAACACAACAGACATTACCACATATTTTTGTTTTAACAAAGTAACCTTTTTTTCTCTGTTGTTTCTAATGATTTGGTCGAGGCCAGTGAAAGCTCCGGATCCCACAAACAGGATGTTGGTTGTGTCTATCTCCTTGTAAGATGAGGGCATTGACCTTTTGTCAGGAACTCTGACGTTTGTACCTTCCAGGATCTTGAGAAGTCTCTGCTGTACCCCCTCCCCGCCAACGTCCCGGTCGGAGTTATGGGATGATGTTTTCTTGAGTTTGTCTATTTCATCCAAGAAAATTATCCCTGTAACAAACAAGCAATGCATTCATTTCTTAGTCTTCATGAACAACTTTCTTATATAGAAAAAGTTGCTTGTTCACAATAAACATGCTGATACATAGAATGCAATACACAGAAAGTAATAAAAGTTAAAAGACCTAGACAAAGTATTTTTAAGCATTCCATTTTTAGGTTCTGGCTTCCTGACTAGCTTTGGTACCAGAAATGAACAAAGGGCCAGTCTCTGTATGTGACAGTCAGGTATCCCAAAAAGTACTTGTTATTAAATTTGACAATTTTAGGTGACAAGAGTAGAAAGTAAATGTACCAAAAATAGATCTCCACACTTTAATTGTGCTATTTATTCTTTAAGAAGGGGAATTATGTTTTATGTTGTGTATTCTAACAAACAAATCTATGACCTGGGGCTCATGTGAGATATTTAAATAAAAGTTGAACATCAGCATTTCTTTGGAATTTTTGGCAATTGTAGGCAATAAATAATTATGAGATATACCACAAATAAAGTGATGCTCACAGTGACAGATGGATAGAATAAAAACCATTATTACAAACGACTGACAGCCAGGCTAGTACATTCACTGGCACACGGGCAATTTTCAAACTGTTTTTCCAGCGAAACATCCTGAATCCCTTTATGTTAATTTATATACCATGAGATTAAATACCTTTTGTAAAAATAATCTTTTACTTTTTAGTAAATTCACTTGTAGTTCAGCTAGTCTGATTTTGAACACCTGGACTATGTGCTGTTTATTTGATTAACAGTATTTACTTGATAAAGATGACAATGCCATGCTTAGCTTGAATAATTTTAGATTGCTAATGCTAATACCATTGAACAAAGATTTTGATGTTATTAAAAAGACATTAAAATTGTGGCCAAATCATTTTCTACAACTTTAAAAAAGGTGGAACAAGATAACATCATGTATAATTGTGTGACCTTGACCTCTCGTTAAATGGCCCTGACCCCATATGGGTGGTCAGTAGTCAGAGTGGAAAACGCACTCCCCTTTCACCAAGGCGACCGGGGTTTGATTCCCTGATCAGAAGTAAAAAGGTATGGGGTCACCTGCCCGACCACCTGGGCTTTCTCTGGGTACTCC